TTTGGTTGGGTGAATGGAAATGTTTATGCTGAAATACACAGAAAATCAAAATGATTGCAAATGGGGTTGCAGAAAAAAATTGTTCAAGGTGACCAATATTAAAAGAATCATATGGCGTGCCTGCTCAAAGCAAACCCGTCATTCACCATATTGCAGAAATCAAAATAATTTTGGCCAATAAGGAAAATCTATGGACTGTCATTGGGTTGAGTAGATGCTCTTGTCTTTTACAGCTCCTATTTATGTCTCCTATTTAAACTGCTAAGACGTTTAAAGTCTTGCATATCAATCTTGAATAGTATGTTTGTGGCAAGTAGTAGTGTTAGTGTTCTTCTGAATTTCCTCTTCAGCTTTTAACTTTTCTACACAGAGTTCACACTCCCTCTTGTGGTGACTGTTGTAATGATGCTGCCCAGTGCTATGAGGTACTACTAAGTTATGTTTTAACCAAATATTCTCTCTTTTTTCATTCCTGCAGACCATGTGGAGCCTGAACTGTTGCACACTTACAGCCAGATTGACCCTTATGACACCTTGATCCTGTGTGTGCGAGTGGCTGTCCTGACTGCTGTCACACTTACCGTCCCTATTGTGTTGTTCCCTGTAAGTTTGGGCCCTTCGTTTGTTTATTCTCTTTAATACACAACATAATATTATATTGATGTTGTATTTCTAAACTGAATGTTTTGTGCATAGGTGCGTAGAGCCATCCAGCATATGTTATTCTCTGCCAAGTCTTTCAGCTGGTTGCGTCACATTGTCATTGCTCTCATTCTGCTCACCCTCATCAACATGCTGGTGATTTTTGCTCCAAACATTCTGGACATCTTCGGCATCATTGGTTAGTATTAAACTTAACATTTCTAGAGTTGAAACATTATCAAAAATAACAGTGGTGTAATGCAGATACAATAAGGTGTAATTTCTAAAACTAGTACTTCCAAGGCACTGATTGAGATTTCACCGTGAGCACTTGATTTCATTACAGTAGCTCCTCTGGTTAATGTTTAAGGAAAGGTTTTTACTATTCAAAAAGCATCAGGTTCGGAGAGTGAAGCTGTCGATAATATCAAGAGTGAACTCAATTATATTGCCAGACGAGGATAAGTGAATAACTAACTGTCTCTTTAATAAGAGCATGGAACAAAAAAACGACACAGAAAGCAACGTAAAGCACGATGCACACACTCAGGTCGAATACGCAGTCCAGGGTCAGAGCCAGCAAATGTACACAGCTGAGGAATTCACAAAACGAGAGGTCAGAGAGGGAAGTCCGATAATCCATTCACAGAAGGCAGTCCGAAGCAAGAGGGCAGGGCAAAACACAATGGTCAAAATACATGACCCATGGTCACAACAGGAAATACCAAAAAAAAAAAACAAGAAAGCTGGAACGTCTGCACAGGAGTGAGAGAACAATCTGGCAGGTTACTGGTGGGAGAAGGCTGCTTATAATGTGATGAAAACAATCAGGAGCAGGTGAAAACAATGAGTGCCGATTAAAGTAAAATGTCCGAAACTGTGGTGAAACAAAAACAGAAAGTAATGTCAAAATAAAAAGCCTGGGACCAGAAGCCAGTGGGACAGAATCATGACAAAAAAGCTGTGGGAAAATAGTAAACATCTTATGTCACAACTAAATAACAGTAGAAAAAGATTTGACATCCTAGACATTGTAGAGATCTCACCTTATCCTCTTGTCTGGATTTACAGTATATATCTGACTATACGTTCTAGCCTATACACCCACTGGCCACTTTATTAGGTACGCATGTACAGTTTGAATGCAATTCAGTGCAACATTTCCACATTAACATCTGTGCTTATGAAGCTCAAAATGTTTCCGTTTTTGGTGAAATTGTCATAAATGTATTAATTCAATTATATGTTTATTATTGAGGCCACAGTTAAAGGTGATGTTGTACTATGGGCTATGCTAAATTCAGAGGTGTCTCTATATTTTTTGTCCACCCCAGCTACACACATGAGAGGGTCAGAATATTAGGAACAGCACTTGAATTATATACAATTGTACAGGTGTAGCTAATAAAGTGGCCTGGTAGTGTATATAATGTGATGTTACTTATTCTGTGTCTGTTTAAAGAGCAAATCCTCCCATTTATGACACAATAATGTCAGTTGTTCCCGGCACAAAAAGTAAAACAAACAAAACATTAAAAACAAAACTAACACGCACAGTGAGTACATGTTTGCTTACGGACAACATGACAGCCTGAGTCAATATTATTGTCACTCTGTCCTCAGATCAAACAGGCCCGCTGCTATAAACACGTCATGTGCTGTGCATAAGAAGGACACCAAGTGTCTGACAGGGCCACTGAAAAATTGTATTAATGAAAAATAAATAGCTAAAAATAACAATCATCAGATCAGAATCACCGTCGTTTTCTCTGGCATGTCGAATGGATCATTACAGGGAGTTCTTAGTTTAAAATAAGACAATACAATTCAATACAGTAATGGGATGTAATCATAAATATTTCTTGGCAGGTCAGATAATTTTAGAGCTAGTTTTAAAAAACAAGTTCCGTCTTAAACAAAGATGTCCTCACGCTAAGCTTGCATATTTTTAAGCTATAATTTATGGTGCGTTGTATTGATATTGTCATGACTGGGTCATACATAGATAACCCACATTTGTTAACCTTAGAAATCCATTTTGACAAAAATTAAGTGTTCTCATACTGTTGCTATGGCAAATAAAATGCTATCCATGATGCATGAAGACTTAAGATCTGGCTGAATCTTTAAACCAATTCTGTTATCAATAAACAACAAGAGAAAAACAATAACAAAAAGAAAATGATAAATTTTATGCTGTAAATGTTTTTCCTCTTTATATTATTTAGTTGACACTTCCTGTACAGCACATGCCTTTTTTTTATCCAGTTCTTCCTCTCTACCCTTTCAGGTGCCACATCAGCTCCCTGCCTCATTTTCATCTTCCCTGCTGTTTTCTACATCCGCATTGTTCCTAAAGAAGATGAACCCATGAGCTCCGTTCCTAAGATACTGGTGAGTCATGTAGTCCTGAACTATTCATTATCTTAATTTGGGGATCAGACTATGAGATTCAAGCTCAGCGTGGTCTAGTTTACATACTAGAGCTTTTGATAAGTAAACTTCTGTACCACTAGTGTTTTGTTTCCCTCATTCTCAGGCTGCCTGTTTTGCTGCCTTGGGCATCTCCTTCATGGTAATGAGCCTGAGCTTCATAATCATTGACTGGACATCAGGGAGCGGCCACGTTGCAGGAGGCCACTAGGTGCTGCTTCAATGTGTGTGTGTGTGTGGGCTTAGGAAAGAACTGGTCAGTGTAAAGTAAGCACTGCCACCTTGGTGATAACACAGTACAGAGCTGCCTGGGGGTTTTAACACTAAATAAAATATCTTGTGTGTGTCTGTTGGAATCACACTTGGAATGATCAATTAACCTTTGAACTGAAATTTAACACATGTCTGAACAAAATATTTCCATAACAGTGTTCAGTACATCACTTCAGCCTAGCACAATTGTATAGAAGTTATATGAATAATCAGGACTGAACTTTTTATACTGTCTGTTTATGAGACTAGATGCTATTTCTTCCTTTTTATTTAAATACAAACAGCTGCAGCTGGTACGTGTACTGTACAGAAAAAAGGGTCTTTTAGGCTGAAGACTGGAAGGCAGAAGCACATATAACAGAGAAAGAGATATAAGTTATTTTTACATTAATATTAGTGCACAACATTAGAACAGAGGATCTCATCCTGAACCAGAAACACGCTGACCTCTTCATCATCATGCAACATTAGACAAAAAATGCTTTTAGGCCATTTCATTTTCATGATCTGTATGTTGTCAGAGTTGTTATGTAGAGTCATACAGTGAAAGATCTTGTTCCACATGCATGAACCAGAAACGTTCTTCACAAACCCTTGTGCCTTATAGCATCTGGAACAGCACACAGACATACAGTGCAGCATGGCTGTATATGTATTTAGATACTGTAGATGTGTTTTTAATTTGAAATGGACTATATTTAACTGCTGTATACGATGAAGGTAATGATCCAAAAACCTTATGTATGATTTCAGTTTTTGTTTTAGCTTACAGTATAGAGATGATGGGAGGTTTTTCCAGACTGATGCTACTTTAAACATTTGACAAAATGCAAAAAGCTTCACTGAAGTTTAATGATGCTTTCATTGAGTGAAAATTTTAACTAGCAGTGCTATTTTTTAAGGCTGCGCTGGAAGCTTAAATGAAAAGAATAACTGGGCATTTTGGTGAATATGCTTAATTTGCTTTCTTGCTGAAAGTTAGATGAGAAGACTGATGGGTCATTTAGCTTTGCATAAAGACTGGGTTTCAGGGGTTATTTATCAAACCTGTAGTCTTTCAACCACCGGCCAAGAAATAGCCCAACACACAACCTTGTGTTTTTTTTGTACAAATTAAACAGATATGTTCATAAATGAGTCCAGTCTCTGTGCTAAGCTAACTGCCTGCTAAGGCTACAGTAGCTTTATATGATACAAACATACATTAAGAGTGGTATTGCTCTTCTTGTCTAATTCTCAGAACGCAAACAGGCATATTTCCCAAAATGTCATAATATTATGATTAAGTGATCTAGAATTTAAAAACTAATGTCATCAAAAAAAATCTGCACATACCTCTAGTGAATGAGAACATATGATATCTAGTGTATGTGGACACCTGAGCAATGTACATATCTCAGAATTTATGCAAATATGAGGATAAAGTTTTACATCCAGCTTGTCCTGCAGTTGTTACAGTGGACTGCACAGGAACTGATTTTCCTTCCCAAACCTTCACATGTAGATGTTATTGTATTTGTCATCATACAGTGAACTCTGTTGAAGTCCATGTATATTTTGTGGTTATTATAGTGTCTATGAAACTTGTCTTAAAAGATGCAACATTCATTTTGAGCTTAATTTTGAGATGTGGATACTTCCAGTATTTGTAAATTTTCAGACTGATTTTGAATAATACGATAGCATTGACACACCGCACATGAGTTCACAGTGTACAGATGACATGACCATTTCTTTATATACAAATATATTGTATGTCACACAATAGCATGTTTTAAAGCAATGCACATTTTTAACTTAACTAACTAAAAACTCAGCAAAATGTCATGTCAAATATTTGCTGCTTGTGCCCAAAGATGGTTTTATAATTGTATCACAACTCTCAGGCTTCAGAAAAGTCCTGTGAAATTCTCTAATTTTATTTATATATAACTTTTTTCTTCAGTCGTTCTTATTCCTGATCAAGGTGTTTTATGGACAAATTATGAACAACAGCACGAGAAATCTTTAGTGCACATACTGACCTCAATCTCTTGCTTTTTGAAGTTGTTGTGGCATAAATGAAGGTTTAGTTTTGACAAGTTTAGTGAACAGACTTTAAAGGCTTGTGTCTAACAGCCTGATTTGAAACACCACATTTTAAATACAAAGTCACAGTACATCTGTTATGCATTTTTCAGTTAGACAAATAAATATATGTTATATTTTATTATAGCTTTAGTTCAAGACATAAATCTATGGAAATGACACAACAGTAGGTAAATAAGGTATATGAATTTTGGTGAACTAGATGTGGCTTTATATAAATAATGTATATAAATGTAGATGTTTTATATTTGTGCAGCATATTTACAGCAGCTTGCAAAGTGTAAATAGCAGGGACTGTTTTAGTTTGGCAATAAAATAATTGTAGATTTTTTTTACAATGTTTCTGTTGTCATCCATTCTCCCTATAATGAAGGCTAAGCATTTTACAGAAATAAACAGAAAAACGTGGACAACATGATCCCTCACCTCGGACCTCGTTATGTTAACACACAACAGGGTTTTACTGCAAATAAGTGACTTCACTTTGATTCGTTTATAGATAAAACAGCAGAAGATTTGTGCATTTCTGACACCTACACAGCAACTGCAACTCTCATAGCAACACAATGCACCCAGCTGCCTCAAAGGAAGTATGGCAACACCAGTGAGCAACACTTAGATGGCACATTAGACTTCATTTAGCAATTTAAAAAAATGGAATTTAACTACATTAGATTATTATCTAATGATGTATGCAATGGAGCCTTAATAGATATGAAGTCTTGTCAGCTTAATTCTGTCTGTTACAAATGAAAAAGGCTAAAAACATAACGTCACTTTAACACTACAGGGAGCCAATAAAAGAAAGGTTTAAGAACTATACTATAAATTAAAGAGCATTTCCATAGCTGAACGACTTTGATGAACATTTCTGCCATTTTATTTTCTTTTTTTTATGTTTTGCTGTTTAACTCCCATCCTCTTCTTAATTGTATTTCAGTATTTCAATTGTCTTTTTTTTTTTACCTTTATGAATTCATAGAATGGGCCAGTAAATGTAAACTAACAGAGAACATATCCAGATATGGCCATGTGGCAGCGCTGTCCACCAGCTCTTCCATCGGCCTAATTATGTGCCAAAGTATTTCACAAACATGTGACAGAAAGACCCGTTAGCCATTTTATCTGTCCACCCTGCATCACTGCAAAGACAAACCTGATCCTGCACACTCACAGGCAGTCAGAGAGAAACATTCTGTCCACCGTGTCTCTGAGTCTGCATCCTTGGCAGATGCAGAGGAATGAAGTTGGCACAGCGCCCGCTGCAGTCTGCACACCACACTCTTGAAATCACGCCTCACTGGCTTCTCGTCTAATTGGTTCTAGCCAAGCCACCGTGGAGAGCTCACCTGTTTTAGTTGGACTATCGCGATAAGGTGTCCAAATGACGCGGATGCGACTGATTGACCGCTTCCAGTAGTCACAGGGCTGGCCTAACTCGGGGTTTGTGCGTGAGCTTAATTGAGCACCAAGAAAGACTGCACGACAGGCCAAAAGACAAGAGAAGCGGAACAGTGAGCGCAGGCATCTCAGCCTATGAATGGGTCCAGGACTACGCACCGAGGGCTTTGCGCTTATGGACATGGACCACCGTTAACAGCCTGAGATTCGGTGTGAAAATCCAAATATTTGGATGCATCTGCTTCATCTTTGAACTTCTAGTTAAACAGAAGATCAATTGTACTCAATATTTACGCGTGGGTAAACAGAAAACATTGGCATTGACTGTTTTCCTCAGAAAGGAGGTCTGGAAGCAGGAGCTGCTCCATCGTTGTTTGTGGCATCGGTAGGCACACTGAGACCTTCAGCACTGAAGCCTTGTTTTTGCGGGAGTGGTCGGTGCGCCCCTGCGTTTGGAGCCATGGGTTGTACGGTGAGCGCCGAGGATAAGGCTGCCGCGGAGAGGTCAAAGATGATTGACAAAAATCTCCGAGAGGACGGAGAGAAAGCAGCCAGAGAAGTGAAACTGCTTTTGTTAGGTAGGTTCCAGCCTGGAGGTTGTTCTTCATGTTACATCACGAAACTATAATGAGTAATGCACTGCTAAAATACCTCCAGAGTTTTGGAGTGACATTTTGTAGAATCGCAGATCATCTGATTAAACGTCATAACATTATCAGTGACAAAGTAGCAAAATGCTGCAGTGAAACTGTAGAAACCACCAATGCACAGTTTGGACTAGAACTGTTCAATGCAAAGGGAGGACTATCACTTAGGTGTTAACACACTACAAGCTAGTGATATAATTTTACAGCTGTCAGATCTAAACAGTCAGCAGCAGTGGCATCAAAACACATAGTGTTGATCCTCCTTACAGGGAAGACAGGGGCCCTGGTTTACAGCACAGAACAGAGGCCATTTCAAGGCTCATGCTTCCAGCCATCACATCATCACAGCTTGTAACTTTTGTTTGCCAACACATTTGCCAACACAAATGTCCACATACTTGGCGAAAATTCAGATATCATCATATCAACATGCCCCATAGTTTCTGGGATCTCTGTGCTGGCAAGTTGCCCAGAAAGCTTGATTCAATATATTGAACCTGTGGTAACAGAGTCACACTTACACCATTCTTAAATGCACACCAGCCTCTTTGAATAGAAAAACAATCTGAGTTCTTTTTTTTTAAAGATAATTTTATTAAATGGATTCTGGAGCTGGAAAAACACATTCTCCTTTCCATCTTCTACCTTCCAACAAGCAACAAACACACATCCTCCCACTCATTGCCAGTTTCTCACTTCCCTGCTTATCCAGTGAATCTGTCTTCATTTGCCGTCATCTTGCTCTTGATTTGTCTTTCTCCTTCTAATTGTTTAAATATGCACACAGCTCAACTGACATCTGACCTGGAATAGAATTGAAAACTTAAGGAGGATTGTGTGTGTATGTGTGTACTGGTAGCACGAGTGTGATGTGATGGGGTTGAGGTAGCTGTTTAAGGTTGGACAGGTGTCATCTTACAAGCTGTTAGTATAAAGGACAGTATCCAGCCAAGTGTGTGTGGTGTGTCTAAGTGTCTGTGTGATGGCTGTGTTTTTAAGTCTTGATAACCTGAAGTCAGATAGACTCACTAATTAATTATCATCCTTGGAAGGATTATTATTATTAATACAGTGGGATATCCTTATTTTCAGCTTTGAACTAAACTGTTTCCAAAAAGCTGATGGGAAATTGAGCACCGTTTGCTATCTGAAGACCAAATGCTCCTTTTGTAACTAGTTTTTATCCCGCTGGATACAGACTTTCTTTCTTTATTTGAGTGTTTTCCTCAGTAAAAAAAACATCTGTTGGTTAAACCTGTAATATGTTGATGGATGACCTTGGCCTCGTTCTGCTCTTCATCACACGTAGACATGCAGCAGGTCATTCAGCAACAGCAAAGCACTAGTACAAAACCTGTAAGAATAAAAAATGGAACTGGAGGTACAGGACATGGAGTTAGCTATTTCTGATATGTCAGTGAATTATCAAATGAATGATTGCTGAATTCCATTAGGTGCTTTAGCTTCAGGGTCCTGGTCTTGTGCGTGCTGACTCACTGTCATGGCCTAATGGATGAATGAATGGAGCTATTGTTCATATTTTTATTAACACATGCTTTTCCTACTATAACAAGTCAAAACGTCTGCTGTGAAAATACAAAGAGGTTCTATACTCTACCATATACAGAGGTAATCACTGAGTGTTAAGAATAAACAAAACCTTTTCTTAAAAGAAACTGATGCATAAGGCCACATATGTATTTGAAGGGTTAACTTGACTTAGGGGTCATTTTTAATACCTTTTAGTATAAAAAACAATTTCTCATCCCTACAGCTTTGTATTGTCTGCAGATTAGGGCTAGATTATTATTGTTTGATGTCTTTCAGTGGAATACAAGTGAGTGAGCTGCAGCTAAAGATTATTTTTATTATTGATTAATCTGTTGATTATTTTCTTGACTGTGAAAATCCTCTGTCCCAGTTTCCCAATGCTCAGGGTGATCTTTTCAAATGTTTTGTGTTGCCCAGTAGTAATCATAGTCAAGAAAATAAAAGTAGATAGAGAGAAAATTGTATTTATTAAGCAGTCTGGATTCAGTTTGTCTTATCACAGTGTACACTGGCTCTCCAGGCATGTTTCTTCCTAGACCTGTTTTTATAGTCTATGTCGATCCCAAAGCCAGTAGGTTTGTATTATTAATGTGCTCTAAGGCCATTCGTATGATTAAATCTGTCTAGTATGGGCAGCACCAAATCTCCGTACTGAAGGTCAAGCATCTGGAGTGACTGTTCTAACAAATCAACAACACAAAACCAAGAGTAACGTTGATTAAAGATTCACATTGATGCTAATGGAAATGCATGGGGTGATATTTTGGTACACAATGGCAGTTTTGTAGATTTGACTGCACAAGTCACTGCACATTAGTAAATACAACCAGAGTTTCTCAGTTTTACACTTTGGCTTATGTACAGATTAAACAAATAAGAAAGAACATGTTAATTAGTGAGCTTTAGAAGTGCTTACTGTATATCTGGACTTGGTTAGCTTTGGACAGGGCCAGGTTAGCTGTTTTCAGTCTTTGTGTTAAACTAACTTCCCCAGCTGCTGGTGGTAGCATCATATTGCACAGACAGATATGAGAGTGACATCAATCTAATGTAACTCTCAGGAAGAATGTGAATAATCATATATACCAACATGCTAAACTAGTCCCTTACCAAGCTGGGATAAAGCATCCCAATTACAGATCTTTGGTGATACTGGGAGAAGTCATGTTTTTGGCACAGGAATCCAGTATGTTGAGTAACATTTTCTCTGTTGTCTTATAAGATTCTTTGAAGAAAAAAAAAAAAACACCATGTAATCATGTAGGGATGTCTGTAATGCCACGCCCTGTTAAGGTATTATTTCTGTGCTTCAGGACCTTTAGGACAGAAATGAACAAAATCACTAAATGAAAATGATATGATAACAACCTCTGGCTTGTTCCAACTGACCCTGTACCGACAGCACTGAGAACATGCAGGAGGCTGCTGCTTGTTGGTTTTTCACTGTAAAGTTGAGCTGAGGACATAATGTAGCTGACACAACAGTTGTATTTGTCTCGTTTGTGTATGAGAAGGTGCTGCTGACTTATTTTGGCAAAGAGAAGATGAGTCACTTGATGGTAGCTAGTGAAGCATGAAAGGGGTACATCCAACTTTTTAATGGCTCTGCGGCATTCAGCCAGTCTGTTTATTTGTTTTTGTTTTTGTTTTTATAATCATGAGTTCTGGGGAAACTAAAAGGCCTGTTCCTTTTTTTTTTTCTTGCAGAATGAGTAAGGTCTGTCTTTGCTTACCATGTTGTTGAGGACACAACGTGCGTAATAAACCACATTACTTGATTTATGTAACGGCCCATGGTGAGTGTCAGTGGGGACCGGGGATGGACAGTCAGAAACAAATTATGTGGTAGAGAACAAAAATGAATATTTGTTGAGCTGTTTCCGGACTGTTAAGAGCTTTCGTGTGTCCCCTAACTGCCTGGGCTGTTCCACAGAACCATATTTCATTACAGGGCTAAAAGGAAACCTTGACAGTTTCATATGAAACTCTTCTCTTACTGCTCTTAGTGCTTTAAGAAAACGCTGATTTCACCTTGTTGTGCCATACTTGAGCTCTCTGTGTAACGGACTGACTAGATGCATTTATCAGCACAGAAACCAGGAACAAAAAAGCATGTTGCATAAAGCTATAGTGCAGCATTTCAGTAGGGAAGTGGGGATTATGACAGCTTGACAGTATTTCTTATACAGTATGCTCACTGTTAATAGTGGAGGGACATTGTTTACAGAATAAATCAAAAGTGTAAAAGTAGAGGGGACTGAAACAGGATTTTAAAAGTGGATAGGGACAGCCCATCACCATTGGAAATGACACTCTTGACACTCTTGAGACTGTTGAATTGTTTAAAGAAGTTGGAAGTGGGGTTGAGAACAGTAACAGCCTACTTGAGGCACATTCCTTATAACAGGCTAATTTACATATGCCACCTGTGTCTATGAGTTTTCAGAGGAGCAAGATAGCTATTCTAGCTAGTGTGGTTTTAGGTCTTGACTGTGTAGTAGTGAAAACACTGGTCTAAATGCAAAGCAGTGCCAGAGGTTTCAGCCATTAGACAACTATGCAGTAATGTTCTGCCCTCTCAGGCGACTGTAGACATGTTGCAGTTGGGTGCTATTCACTATACAGAAGCAATATGATCAAACCTATGACCAAAAAATATGGTTATATACACATAAGTATAAAATTACCAGGGTGATAGCAGGTCATCATTTCAGCACAGGCAGAGCTGTACCGTAACCATCATCACATTATTACACTTAATCAGATTTAAACTAAATCTGATTTCACATTCAAAAGAATCTAACGGAGCAAGATACTGCTGAATCCGAGGGACTCTTTCAGTTCCCCTGTTACAAATTTTCACCCAAAAATGTTAAGTGAGGATATGCTTTGTTCCTCTGAACCCCCCATAAATCAGCCTCCACTGCAGCTTGTCTCTAATTCCCACCTCGGGCAGACTATAATAATACCACTTCACAGTAGACATGAGTCAGTTCTCCTGACCGAGATGAGGGCTCAGGGTGAGACTGTCCATCCAGAGGTGACAACTTCACAACTACCCACAAACTGAAAGAATATGTATACTTATGCACTGTTAGTCATGTCTCTGGTGAATACCACTAAGTTCTCAGTAAATGCATGGGTATTTATGTGCTGAACCAGCAAAAAATGGATCCTCATTGCAGTCTCAGTTAACAAACCATTTTACTTACTGTGTGTGTGTATATAAAGTTTGCACCTTTACAGATGGTACTAAGTAAGAATTACTGGTTTGCTGTGAAGAAAATGAAGAATTTCCAGTAAATCCTCTAATAAAAATTCTTTTGGGGGGGGGGGGTGGAGCATAAGAGAGTGCCTTCTGCTCAAAGAATGTCAGTGAT